GGATGTGTTATGTGAGCAAGTGAGACAGTGGAGAACTGCGAAGGTTCTCTTGAAAATATATACAATATATAAACAAGCAGAGTCCACTCATTTTCACACGTGTTGCAGGGGCTCCATCTGTAACATCTTCTCTCTGAAGCCCACTCCATGCTCTTCACACCCATTCCCCAGCGCCTAGTCTGTTGTGGGCGCTCAATAAATATTAAACAACTGAAGTGCAAACTATTGTGAAGAAGTTTGGAATTCACAGGAATCAATAGTAAACTGTTATTATCATTTAACATTTATTGAGAGTCAACAGCATGACCTAGTGCACATGAGCAAATAGGTTATTTTATAATCACATATTAAGCAAATAATTTAATACAAACTGTATTAAGTAAATGTTCAGTTTTACTTAATTGTAAAATTGCTTTTCTTTTTTAAATAATGTCAACACACTATGAAATATAAACACTCATCATTTAAATAAATATCTCTCAGGGAAATCATTACTCTTCGATATTATTAACAGTCACTTGAAAGGATGAGCTAAAACTGCAATAGTACACATCACAGACTCTACATAAACCAGTGCAGATACAAAGAACAGAAGAATCTGAAAAGGTGCATGAGAACAAATTTACAAATCATATAATAGTATTTGAGCTTCCCCTGGTGGTGTGACAATTTAAAACACTAATACAATTCTATAGGGTACCACTGTTTACAAAATAGCATCAGAGACAAAGAAAGACAAACTCTTCAAGTGGACACAAATTAGCAATTTATGAATTTAGAAACATTTCTTAATTTAGGCAAAAATTAATGTTTTTATTACAGGAAATAAACCGCATTTGATACATTTATGATCCACATTCTCCAGTTTTACCCTTTATGAATACTTGCTAATTTGTTCAAATTTATTTGGGGATAGTTAATAGGCACTCAAGTCTCTTTAATATTTTTTTTATAAATATTTTGTCATGTTTCTACTTAATTGTATTCTGAAGTGATTTTTTAACCAAGAAAACTATAGTTAATATTTCTATACTGAAACTTTCAGTTTAATTTTGGGATAATGAAGTATCAATAAGTTATCAAGCTTAGAAAGTGTGTTTTTCCCAAGCATCTCAGAAATAAAAGCCCTTCTAGACCAGCTTTCCCTTTAAGAGGCAAAAGCTTCTGTATTCTGACATAAGGAACATACTACTTGAAAATTTTGCTGAATAGATAACTTTGGCATTTGAAAAAGTAAGATAATATAGTTCAGCTTCATAATTGTAGAAGAGAGAAAACAAGGATAACGTTTCTATATTTAGACTGATACACTGTCCTCATTGGGCAATTGCCTTATCTTTTCTTCCACTATACATTTTAAAAAATAGTTTACAATGGTTGTGATTACTAAAATTTAAGATTTTCAATATCTTTAACCAGATGATGACTTGCAGTTTTGCTTATGTAAGATCACTATCTACAAAGGTCATAACATTAATAATGTAGTTAATTAATAAATGCATATTTATTAATTTTCCTCTAATATTTCCACTTTCAAATGGGAGTAGTCGAAAGATTTAATAATTTATCTTCTGGTTTCTGATATATTTAGAAACTTTTACTATTAGAAATCACATTTTGATTTACTAAAATATTCTCTTAATTGCACAGTATTTATAGAGGCACAGTTCACTGAAGTCTGGATTACCTAATATTTCTTTCTTCAACAATTCCTCTATGTTTTCACCCACCACACAAATATTTATTAAACATTTACTGTATGCCAGCATTGTTATAAGCTCTTAGTACAGCCTCTCAAAGAAGACCTTAAGTGATGTCATACACAGGTATGAATGAAAGAAAATGAAAGATGATTTGAGAGTGATTTAATTTATTACTGTTTACTTCACCTTTTCACTATTGAACTTAAGCCACTTTGAGAGAAAAATATTAAAAACAAGGAGATTCTGGGACTCCAATCTTTAAACTTAATTGTCTCATTGATCTCCTTCCTTGCCCCAGTAAGTCGCAAGCCACTGGATGCATCCTTAGAGTGACTGACTGCTCCTCTAGTAACTAGCAAATATTATTAAAGATTTTTTTTTCTCACAAAAAGTGAGATTGAAAGAGAGAGGAAAATGAGATTTAGGAGGGCAGGTTGATTTCATACAGGAATATCAAGGAGGGAAATGTGCACTAAATATGAGAAACTAAATATCAACAAATGAATAAACTAAGCTTAATGAAAGGTGATGTACGCTTTCTAGACATACTGTGCAAATAATAAAGATGAACCCGCATACAGTCCCAGGTGTTGAAAGTTTTGTCTTTGCCAGTCCTCAGTTCCCACTATAAGGATAGTAACATCTATTGTGGAAAACATTTCTTTCTCCTGATGCTTCAAGGCAACTGCTTTCTAAACAAGAACAGCCAATGTTGTGTGCGTGTGAGTATGTGTGTGCATGCATGCACATGCACAGCTAAGGCGAAGGAATTTATAGAGCTTCTTAATATTCAATTTATGATCTTTATGAGAAGAGAAACTAAAATGCACAGGATTCATCATTAGTTAGAGAGAAAACAGTGTTATATTTTTGGACTTTTGCAGAAGTTAGATTAATCAAATTTCTACTTGTTATATAATATAATGTCTAGTTAGCTAAGTTACATTAACATAAAGTTTGTTCCACCTTTCACTATCTGCATTTCCTATAAAGTTTAGTTTAATCAATATTTCCCAAGTTTTCCCAATTATAATACAGACCCCGTCCGTAAGTTCAACATACACAATTTTACATAGATCCCAAAGAGTATCTGACATCCATAAAAATTATGAAAATTATAAAGTTGTTTCCCTTGTACAAGTCCATAAGTTCAAACTTAAATGAATGGAAATAACTTTTTATAAAATGAGTAATACTTCAATGCATTGTGAACTAGTTTGAGATTATGCATATTTAGGAAGAAATCTGAAGACTACATAAGGAAGAAAAGTACAGGACAGTCTGAATGCATTATCTTATGAATAAATATGAGGATTCTATGATGAAATCTAGAGAATGTCATTGATTTATTCTCACATAAGCTCTCTGCTTTATTAAAATCACAAAATACATATTTTATATCAATTACTAGTTATAGATATACCATCACAAAGTATGTAAGTTATTCAAATACTCTACTTCTCATGGAGTTTTATAGTTGAAAAGTATGAGGCCATTGATTTACAATATTTAAAACTGAAATGATTTACTAAGTCAATATAAAAAAAGCCATTGAAATAACCTCTTAGATTTTTCACATAAGCCATGAGCTTAGAGTCTTCATAAGATAAAAGGTATTGTTATCGAAAAACATGAATTACAAAATCACGTGGAGTAAGTTCACATCTCTAGGAACATTCCGTCTCCTATCAACTTGAGGAAACATGACAGAATTAATGAACTGACACTAGCTTGAAGGTAAGAAGAGATAAACAGTCTGTGTTAATAATCAGTTATCTCTTAGGTGCCATTATTAGTGTAGTCATTTTACATTCTAGTCAATCTTCTCTTAATATGCTGTGGCTATCAAATAAATCTGTAAAAGCCATAAAAGATAAGTAATCAAAGCCTTTACACTACACAGGAGAAATATATGAAGCTTAATGAATGCAATTTGATAGTTGATCTCACCTATATTAAAGTTGATATTATAAGAAAAAGATGCTTAAATAAATACTGTAGGTTTATCTAAAAATTTATAATTTTTCATATCCTTTTACATATGCTTTCTTGTTTGGGCTCTATGTCTTGAAATAAGCAGGTCAGATATAATTAACTTTGTTTTTAAAGGAGAGATTTAGGCTGAGAACCTTGCCTAAGGAAACAAGCTGAAATTAGGAACCAGTACTGGTGCTCCTCTACTTTATATTTCAGAGATTAAAATCCCCACTTCAAAAAGAAGTTGACAGAAACATTCTGTTGCATTCTAACATTCCAGATAGTCCCCAGAAGCCAAAAGGAATTAGAAAACTTTTAAAATGTGGTTATAATGTGATTTTTATTTAGAAAAGCCCAAAGAAATAAATCCTTGACTAGTTGTCTTAACTGAATCCTTAACCTTAGTTTACTTATCTAAAATGTGAGGAATTGAAGGGTATTTGAATATAATTATATATAAAATCCTATATTTCTGATATTAGAAGCTTAATTACATCTCAAATTTAAGAGAAATTATTTTGAATTTATTGTTAACAAAATTATTGCTAGTTCTGATTTTATTATAATAAATAATATTATATTATAATACATAAAATGCCAAAGAGTGAGGGGCAACAATTAAAATTATTAGCAGCCTGATCTCTAACAGAAGACCTAACATCATTTTAAATGTTTTAACTCCACTGTGTTGTAGTATTTCTCTCAAGCATATTCTGGAGTGAGATATATATATGTGTATATATATATATTATATAGCTGCATGAATAAAAATAAAAATGCATTATTTATAGCATTATGGTATATAAAATTAAAATTTCAGACCTCTTGGGAAAATCAATTGCTGAAGTCATAATAGAAACTCAAATGACTTACTTTTGTTGATTTTTTTTTTACCATTTTAACTTTTACATATTTTTGTAAGTGATAAAAATTGTTTTTGCATAGATGGAATTGTTTCATCTTTATTCTTTGAGCTATTTTTGGTCAGGTGTTGTTAAAACCACAAATCAAACTGAAAAATGTCTACCAGTTGCCCCGGAGGATCATTTCCTTACTGTCAACAATCTTCAGCATTTTCCTGATGTAATGAAGCAGCCTGCGGAGCTTTCCTGTTCTGAACTTATATTCAAAGTTCAGTTACACAAAGAACAAAACCCAGGTCGCTGCCTGACATTCCCCCGGCACAGAAGACCATGCAAGGACAGTGACAGGGAGCAACAGATTCCAAGCTTATTGTCCTCCTGTCTGGTCCAGGGCTTTCCTCCTCACGTTCTTGTCTTTCTAAAGAAGATAATGTCAACCTCCTTCATTTTTTTTTACCTTGCTCCACTGTCTTGGCTGGTTTCTCTTCTTTCTTTCCAGGTACAGCTGCAAAGCAGAGATAAGCTTTAAATAAAAGTTGCTGAGAGAAATGCTACTTCTGCTCTAAAGAAGCATTTTAACGTATTCAGTGCCAGATATTTCTCCTAAACAAGCTATTTTTAAAAGCTTTTTAAACATTTCTTATTTCTCAACAATCCAATGGAAAGCCATGTTAAATCTAATCTTACAGAATCTTATAGAGAGAAAAAAATCACTTGCCTTTTTCTGACTAGTTATTCCACACTATTTTCTACTTTATTCTTTTATCCTCTGCTTTGATAAACATGTTCTACAAAGAATTCTACTTGACAGGACAATGATTAATCAACTTACATTCCAGCTCACTGCTGGAGTCAGTATCTTGAAAATGTCAACTAAATGTTCCTTTCAATTCAAGCTTAATACAGCTTAATCAACTGAAAAGACAGCGTAGTTGTATTTGAGATTTATTTAAATATTACATGAAGTCGCTCAAATTACAAGTAACCAAGAGAAATAAGATTATCATCTAGGTGCTGTTTCCTCTGAACTACACGTTCTCTGCGACTTACTGGTCTCAGTGGAGTGTTCACTGCTCACCTATTTATATATCAAAATAGTAAAACCGATTCACACAAAATCAGTGCACCCCACTGAAATAATTGATTCAAGTAAAGATCTTCAGAGGATGCTAACAACTCTTAGATGGAAGATGAGTGGGGAACTGAATACTGTCATTACAGCCAAGTAGCAACACAGAGTTGCAAGGGGGAAAATGCAACTTTGAAAGGAAGGACTGTGGTCGTCACCAACCTAATCCATTGATGAAACCTGGAACCATTCATTCATAATAGGACGTCCAGACATTCTGTGCTTCCTAACGATGTGAACCATTGTATATATAGTTTAACTTCTGAATATTCTTAACAAAACAACTGGAATCCAGTTAAACCAAAGATTTAGCTTTTGTAATCAAACACAGGATATAGAAAACATATTAACTAGTATTCTGAAGAATCAATCATAACAATAAAAAATGTCTACAGGGTAAGTGACCATGATCTTTTCAAAAAGTTAATGTGAAGAACCAGAGAGAGAAAGAAAGAGAATTACTTTTTACAGAAAACTTGTTAAATTCACTCATTAGTTATAATAGTTCATCTGTACATTCTTTTGAATTTTTCAAGTAGATAATTTCATGTGTAATGAGTTTTAGTCTCACTTTTCTATTCTTGTACCTATTATTTCTTCTCACCTTACCGCGCTGCTGCAAATCCAGTACAGTGTGTAACAGGTGCTGAGAGACACATCTTCATCCTGCTCTAATTCTAAGGAGGAAAGCTTTCCACTTTTCTCCATTAAGTATGATATTTGTTAATGATTTTTGTAAATATCTTAACATGGTAAAGGAAACTTCTTTTTACTCTAGTGATGAATTATATCAAATGTATCTGCTATGATACATTTATTTATTCCCATTATTCTATAATTGTGGTTAATTACATAGATTACTTTTTTAAAAGTTGCACTGCTGAAATAAAATCAACTTGGTTGCATTTTATCTTTCATATATATTGTCAGAATTGATCTACTCAGGTCTATGCCTTCATGCTCACAAGTTAGCCTTTATATTTTTTTTATTTTTCAGCCCCTGTAAGGTTTTGATATTTGAACAAATGTTTCTCATTTTCTACATCTGGAAGGTCTGGTGCAGATTGTTAATTTTTCCTTAAATGTTTGAAAAAATTCACCACTGAAGCCATTTTTCCTCAGGGAAGAATTATAATTATGGATTCAAAATATAAATTTAATTAGAATTTTCAAATTTATTAGAAAGTGTTTTTATTGTTTATTACCCATAAGATCTGTAATTATACCCTTTTATTTTCTGATATTGATATTTTGTGCCTTCTCCCTATTTTTCTTAATACATTTTTGTAAAGGTTTATCAATTTTACTAGTTTTTATAAAGAATCTAATTTTTATTTTGATTTCTTTATTGTACAATTTAATTTTTATTTAATTAGCTTCTTCTCTTAAATTTTCCATTTCTCTTCCTTCTACTTTCTTTGGGCTTTATGTTCTGTATATTTAAAAATTTATTGGCTTCCTAGATACTTGAATTTTAAGTCTTTTTTTTTCTTTTTTTCTTTTTTTAAAAAATATATCTTTATTGATTTCAGAGAGAGGAAAGGAGAGGGAGAGAGAGAGAGAGAAACATCAATGATGAGAGAGTCATTGATCAAGCCCACAACCCGGGCATGTGCCCTGACCGGGAATCGAACCCCGATCGCCTGGATCCCAGGTCAGGGCTCGATGTTCAACCGCTGAGCCATGCCCAACCAGGATAGCTCTTTTTTTTCCTAATGAATATTTTTAAAGAGCATAAATTTTACTCTAAACATTGTTTAGTTAAACCCCAAGTTTCAATGTAATGTTTTCATCATGTATTAGTTCAACATATTTCCAAATTTCCACTCATATTTTATTTGGCCTAGGGATATTTAGAAATGTATTGTTTATATTTTTCATATCACCTACCACTGTTTCTGACATAGCAAGTGATCAGTATATATATTTGCTTGGTGATTAAATGTATTATTAATTGACAAATGAAATGTTTGATAATAAATATTCTGAGTTATGAAAGATCAGTTTTGTTGTGTATTTTCATAGCTGCAACCTGTATTTTATTTATTTTTTTTTACATTCAATATTATTTTATGTTAGTTTCAGTGTACAGCATAGTGGTTAGACAATCATATAATTTACAAACTGATCTCTGATATATCAAGTACCCACCTGGCACCGTATATCGTTATTACAATATTATTGACTATATTCTCTATTCTGTGCTTTACATCCCTGTGACTATTTCATAACTGCCAATCTGTACTTCCTAATCTTTCTACCTTTTCACTCATCCCCCTAACAGCCCTCTACTCTGGCAACCATCAAAATATTCTCTCTCTACGGGTCTTGTTTCTGTTTTGTTTGTTCATTTATTTTGTTCTTTAGATTCCACATATAAGTGAAATCATATGGTATTTGTCTTTCTGTCTGACTTATTTCAATTAGCCTAATACCCTCTAAGTCCATCCACGCTGTAGCAAATGGTAACATTTCATTTTTTTTTATGGCCAAGTAACATTTTATTGTATATATGTACCACAGTTTTTTACCCACTCATCTACTGATGGGCACTTGAGTTGCTTCTGTGACTTAGCTATTGGAAATAATGCGTCAATAAACATAAGGTGAAGCAACCCCAAACAATTCAAACAGAGATATGCACCCCCATCGGTGTTAGTGATTTTGTAGCCAATAAGATGTGAAGAAAGGCAAAGGAGCAGAAAAGCCTTAGGTGTACCTGGAGAAAAGTACACAAGTTTAGCTGAAGCAGAGGGTTTCCACAGAGAAGATATGAAATAATCTAAAATAGAAAATGGGGCCAACTGCAGAAGGCCTTAAATTCCAAACTAAGGAGTTAGATTTTATTACATATGTTTTAAGGAGCTAGTAAGATGTGTGGTGTATTAGTCTCTTCTACTAATGCTCTCTCTCAAATCAATGTGGAAATAAAACACTGAATATTTGTATTTATAATAGATTGTGGGTATATAGTTTTATTCATAATGCTTCTATTTATAAAATCATTTTGAATATTGTGCACAAAATATACATTTTTCAATTGTTTTATTTTAATGCTTTGAAGAGTAAATGTCTTTCAGAAAATGACTAGAATGTGACATTCATAAACACTAAGGTTTGTTTTTTTAATGACAGGTTCATAATTCCTTGCACTCATATTAAGTAGAAGAAGCTAATCACCTAAAGTGCTGTTTTTTGTTACTCAGGAAGGTCACCGAAAATGCCAAATGTTTATACAGAAAAGAAGACATTTTGCATAAAATGATGATTCTTTCATTTTTGATTCTGATGCAAAATTCATCAAGGCCAAATCTACGAAGAGTAACTGTTAGGAATAAACAGCTCATCTAAGTGGATTTTCTATCTGCTTGGAATCAAAAGAAGACCTTAATCAATGTTTCTTTCAATACCACAGGGTCCCTGAAACCTTCTTTGATGCTGAGAGAAGAAATTTTCTTTGCTCTACATTTGGAGGGATTTACTTTAAGAAGAAGAAGGAAAAGTAGGTGTGTATTGCTCTCCTGCAGGGATCCCAACTAATAAGAAGAAACAAAGCAGCCAGCATTCTTAAAAAGTAGTGCCTGGGCTAGGGACAGTCCTGAGCTGAACTGTGAGATGGAGACGTTGGTTTTCTATAGACAGAGGCTTTAATTTCACTATTTCCCCCTCAGTTTCCCTTGGGACCCGACTCTCCCATACAATCCTCTCTCCGTCCTTGCCCCTGAGCACCGCTTCATGTATGCAGATAGCAGAAGGGGCTTGTACCTGGGCAGTGAGGCTTACCTGGAGGGGGGCTGTGTCAGAATCCCAGAGAAGAAGGGAGGGGCGATAAGGAACTACTGTGCAGTCGAAAACATTGCCCATATGGCATATACATTACTTATGGGATGTAGACCTAAAGCCTTATCATGAAAAACTGTTATTTCTAAGGAATGTGATGTTACCTACAAAAGGGTTATCGCTTAGAGATGTCAACAATTGAAACAATGCACTAAATCACTAACTATGGAAGAAAAAGTCTTAAATCTATTAGGTCCTTGGACACATATTATGGAGACAGGAAAGAGAGGCTTCTCATCACTTCTCAGATGATGCTAACTCTAATTTATTCACAAGGCCATTCCTTCCTGCTACCATCTCCCCTGAATTTTATTTCTAGTATATTTTAAATTTTAAAGAATATGGTATTATTATACCATGCAAAACAGGGAATGTCTAAAGATGAAGTTTGAAAGGGATACAAGAAAACCGGACCTTGGGAGACTCTGACATTGTTTTAACAAGCTTGGACTTAATTTTGTGGAGAGTTGGGGAAAAGAGAGTTTTAATTTAAAAGTGGTTTATTCA